CAAGCTTTTTCTGTTCTGCCTGAATGGCGGAGGATGGAAGGATTTATTAAAGGTGATCCTTGATTTACAACAGTTCATTTACTTACAAGGGCACTGAGTAAAAGTGACTTAAGACCGCTTTTCACACTTATCGCCGTTGCCCCCACATGGTAAACATTCCGATAAACATTGGCAATTGACTCATATTTATGACGGTGGGCCAGGGGATTTCCCTTCCGACAAGCAAAATCGACGGGGAAAGCCAGATTCGCTTAACAACCTAACTTAACGATGGCAGAGATTCACTTGGCAAGAAAACTAATAAAATGGACCAAAAGTCAAGTCACTCAACAAAGTAGATTTTGGGCTCGGTTGTGGTCGTAATTTCGAGGACTAGCCGTAGCAGTATGAAGAAGGTGTTAGAAGGTAAAGGTTCCTCTCACACGTATGTGCTAGTCGTTCCCGACTCTAGGGGGCGCTGCTCATCTCCGTTTCAAAGCTGAAGAGCCAGCGCTGTCCGAAGATGTCTCCGTGGTCATGTGGCCAGCATGGCTCAACGCCGAAGGCGCACGGAACGCTGTTCCCTTCCCACCAAAGGTGGTCCCTATTTTTCTACTTACATTTTTTTACCTGCTTTCGAACTGCTAGGTTGGCAGAAGCTGGGACGATACATGGGAGCTCACTCCGTTATGCGGCGCTAGGGATTCGAACCACCAAACGGCCGAACTTTCTGATCGACACGCTCAGCGTCTTAGCCCCTGAGCCATTGCGTCCCTATTACCCCTTAAAACAAACAAACCCACCCGCTTTTTTGTAGAGACGCATCGCAAAACAAACAAACTAACTAACAAAGAGGGGGGGCAGAATTAGCTTTATCTTGAGGACTCCTTCGACCCCTTCCGGGCTCTCCAACTCGGGAAGGAGATGGGGAAACCAGGCGCCACGCTTCCTAAGTACCAACGCTGGCCTTGGCATTTCAAAACCAGCAGCGGAAGCTTAAGTGCTCACCGCCCTGGCTGGTTTAATTGCTTTAACCTGTGCTTAAGACTGGATGCCCAGTAACTTGGCAATGAGAGACGGGTCGCTCGGATCTAACACCTGGGGAGGTGACTGGCACCCTGCTTTTCTTCGCCCGCTCCCGAGCCAATCAAGACCCCTCCGAAGGAGACGCCAAGTGAGGTTGCTTGGCAGGATCCCTCCGCTGATTAAATGGGGGGGGGGGAGGCAGGAAAGAGTGGGGGAAGGGGAGGGAGAGCTGTTTATTTGACGGGAGAGGCATCGGCTGCCCTTGGATGTCAAGTAGCCAAAGGGGGCATAATCCCTTTTTTCCCCCAATAGCCTGGCAGGAATGCAATTGGGCAGTTGGGGATGGAGAGTCCCAGGCTCTTCCCTGGATTTTTTGGGGAGGGGCAGCTCGTGTTCGTCGCAGTTTGGGTGGGCTACCCTGCCTCCCCAAACAGCCTGCAGGATTAAGGTGGGGTCCTTCCACACCAGAGTGATGTAGAAGGACTGGGGAGATTCATTGAGAACTTTAGAAGGTATCCGATGGAGCAGGGGGTCCCCATCCTTTCGGACAACAGGGACCACTAAATTCATAATTTTAAATCCCGCGGACCACTAATAAGATCTGCCTAATGACCGGCTGGATGGGCGTGGCTAGGCAGTTGTGTGACTGGGTGGGCACGACCAACTTGATGTCACTCACGTCAAGGGGCGCCTCGCCGGCCTCTACTCGTCCCTCCCCTCCCAGCCCCTCCTTGCCTGCCCGCCCGGGCTCCTTGGGGCCCCAAGAGGAAGCCGTTGCTGGAGCTGAGCAGCCACCAGAAGAAAGAGTTGGCAAAACAGCTCAGTTCAAATTTGAGCTAACTGAGAAGGCGGCTCAGCAGAAGCACCTCACTGAGGACTAGGAGCATGGGCTTCCCAAGCAGAGGGAAGACCTGCGGGAGTGCAAGGCCAGGTGCCGATGCTTGGAGGCTCAGTGGGCTGAGATGGTCAGCCAGTTCCAGGCCATGATGCCATCCCACTGGAACGAGGCTCTCCGGCTCTTCCCCACCAGCGGAGCTTCCCTCCAGCCTTCTCCCAAAGCCCCCCACCAGGAGGCTGAAGCAGACCCCAAGTCGGAATTTCTGCCCCCCTCCAACCCTCACAAAAAGACCCCGAAGGGTGAGACCCTCTGCAGCAACACAAGCGTCCATTGCCGTAGTTTGAGGACCCCTTGATTTAGTGCAATATGAAAAATGCAAATAATTTTTCTGCAGGCCACCAACATTTCCTCGTGGACCCCTCAGTTGGGGACTGCTAGTCCTAGATGCTGATGGCAGTCACCGATTCACACACCCTATGTGCTCCATCAGGGACCTCCCTCCATAAACCAGCCCCCCAGCGGCCTTCCTGGAGACAACAGATTAGCCTCACAAACGGTTCCCCTTAGCACGTCTTTCTCCCTGCACGACGGTCTCCTCCCGATGTTTGGGAGTCCAAAGACGGCCGAGAGGAAGAGAAGTTGTGAAGCCATGCAGAATGAGGTGCTTGGCTGAGGCTAGGAGGATGTACACCCACACTTTGTCCCTGAAACGTGTTTTACTCGACACAAGACACCAAGAGTTGCATTTCCTCAGGTACATGCTCACCCTGACCAAGTGGCTTGGTCATTGAGGGCAGGCATGTCAAACTCAAGGCCCCTGGTGTGTATGTGTGTGTGTGTGTGTGCGTGTCTGTGTGGATGTGCTTAAATCCGCCCCTCGGAGCTGCCTTGGAAATAGCTAAGGATCATCCCTTGCTGCCTGTGCCAGCAAAAATGGGGGCTGGAGGATGCACCATCCCCAAGCTTTGTTTTCGCTGGTAGAGGGCTATCAAAACAACCTCAAAGCCAAACCAAAGGGGAAATGTTGCTCCGTTTTGCATTTGAGCCTGCAAGAAGGGACAGGATAGGAGAAAGGGAAAGAGGAAAGGCACAGAAGAAAGAAAGAAAGAGCGGAAGGAAGAAGAAAGGAAAGGAAAGAGGGAAGGAAAGGGAAAGAGGGAAGGAAGAAGATGAAGGAAGGAAGGAAAGACGGAAGGAAGGGAGGCAGAGAAGGAAGGAGGGAGGGAAGGAAGGGAGGAGGGAGGAAAGGAAGGAAGGAGGGAGAGAAGGAAGGAGGGAGGCAGAGAAGGACAGAAGGAAGGAAAGAGGGAGAGGGAGGCAGGGAAGGAAGGATGGAGAGAAGGAAGGGATGGATAGAAAGAAGGAAGGAAGGTTGGAGAATGGGAAGGAAGAAGGATGCAAAGAAGGAAAGAACAAGGGTGGGAGGCAGGGAAGGAAGGAGGGAGAGAAAAAGGAAGGAGGGAGAGAAGGAAGGAGGGAGGAAAGGAAGGAAGGAGGGAGAGAGGGAAGGCAGGAGGGAGGCAGGGAAGGACAGAAGGAAGGAAAGAGGGAGAGGGAGGCAAGGAAGGAAGGAAGGTTGGAGGATGGGGAGGAAGGAAAGATGGAGAGAAAAAGGAAGGAGGGAGAGAAGGAGGAAGGAAGGAAGGATGAAGAGAAGGCAGGAGGGAGGGAGGGAGAGAAGGAAGAAATATAATGAGAGTGAGAGGGAGGGAAAATCTGAGGGAAGTCCTGCTTTAGTACATGGCCACCACAGGTGCCCTCCACCCGACACGAGTGATGTTGAGCTGGCCACGCCCACATCAGCCTTCCGACGTGAACCCCAACCCTGATGCGTCCCTCCCGCAATGAAACCCAGTTGGAGACCTTGGATTCACGGCCTCTTCAGAGAGGGGGCGGAGTGGGGGGGACTTACCGGTTTCTCGGGCGACATAATGGAGGAAACGCTCCGTGGGATTTTGGCGCTGAAGTTCCCTGTGTTGGGAAAGGGGAATCAGCCTGGGTGCAACACGGCAACCTCTGAATGCCGCGTCTGTCTCCCTAGCTGGCTCGAAGGCCAAGCCTCTTCCCTACCTTTGCTCTTGGGCGCGGCCTCCTTCTCGCTGGAACAGGTGGTGTTTTCTGGGGTGGTTGGGTTGAACCTGGCCATCTCCCAGGAGGTGTTCCTGGGGCTTGACAGGTAATTGACAGGGTGGGAGCAGTTCTGGAACGAGAAGAGGAGAAGAGAAAATGGTAAGGCCACCCTTGGAGTACGGCATCCAGTTTTGGTTGCCACGATGTAAAGAAGATGTGGAGACTCTAGAAAGGGGGCAGAGAAGAGCAACAAAGAGGATTAGCGAACTGGAGGCTAAAACATATGAAGAATGGTTGCAGGAACTGGGTATGTCTAGTTAACGAAAAGAATAACAGAACAGAACACCAGAGATGGAAGGGACCTTAGAGGTCTTCTAGTCCAACCCCCTGGTCAAGGAGGAAACCCTAGACCCTTTCAGAGAAATGTCCAATCTCTTCTTTAAAACTTCCAGTGTTGGAGCATTCATAACTTCTGGAGGAAAGTTGTTCCACTGATGAATTGTTCTCACTGTCAGGAAATTCCTCCTTAGTTCTAAATTGCTTCTCTCCTTGATGAGTTTTCACCCATCGCTTCTTGTCCTGCCCTCAGGTGCTTTGGAGAATAGCTTGACTCCCTCTTCTTTCAGGCAGCCCCTCAAATATTGGAACTATGCTATCATGTTTCCCCTAGTCCTTCTTTTCATTTAACTAGATCTACCCAGTTCTAGCAACTGTTCTTTATATGTTTTACCCTACAGTTGCATAGAATAGAATAGAATAGAATAGAATAGAATAGAATAGAATAGAATAGAATAGAAAATAACAGAGTTAGAAGGTAC